ATTGTACCAAGCTTTCCTCCTGATAGATTTATTTTCCGTCTTTTCAGTCACCATAAAGTATGTACAGTAATGGCACTTCGCGGTATTCCACTAAAAGAAAAATTACTTTGTTCCTTGCAATGAGACTTACCTCTTACAAATAACCAACTAAGCAGCAGTGACTGCTATTCGACATTTTTCGTATGGATAAATTTAAAAGATGCGGCCTATTGATCAAAGAGTATAATAAGTATACTATAGAAAGAGGGGCAACTCGCACGAAGTCGTGGATCCACGGCGATTGTGGCGCTCCATGCGTATAATCGCTGAACTAATTTTTTTTTTTTGGTATCTGTATACGTAGGCACGCTTATTTAGCTCACTATAATAATAACTAATAAGTGGGAATCTAATAAATAAAGTTAAAATTGACATTAAATCAATGTTCAAAAATAATATACCCACTTATGTAGTTATTAATACAGTGAGCCGATATCAAGTAGCCTTCTATGAAATACCTCTATTAAAATGATCCTATTATTATTGGGGAAATAAAAACAAAATATTTTTATATTTTTGTACATTATTTATTATATTTCTACATAACTTAATTTTAAATCTATGCAAGTACATATACATCAATGACTTTCAAGATATCAGCTCAATATTTTAATTTTTAATATATATATTTGAAAATTACATTTACGGTAATAAATAGTATAGCGCGGTCACAAAAGAATGCATACCCTGTAATTAAAACCAAACCCCAAAATATTTTCAGTCATATGCAAGCTGGCAACTGGCAATTTGTAGTTATTTGCGAGTTTAAACACTCTGAACATATTCTCTTACAACATAGGCAAGCAAATTTTTCTTTACAATAAAAAAATATATTTTTTACATATACACACATGGACCCACCTACTAATTTCAGACACATCAGTTTATGGCTCTATAATTCCAGTGATTGGCACACATTTTTTGAACATCACTGACCGTCTCTCAGGAAGGGGGAAACCGTGTATATGTGCACCTACAACAAACAAACAGAATGTGATTTCCTGTCAAGTATAGGAACTGATATGTAAAATGTATTAGAAGTAGGGCACCATTCAATATGATAACCGGAAAGTATAAATCACTGTGGTGCTAAAAACTACACCAAAATACGAAAATATTTAAATTATTAAATTAGTCTGACGTATGGGAATAAGATGAAAATTTTAATTGAATTGGAACTTACCATAATCAGTTCATCTAAAACACAGTTGCGTACGGCGTCATTTTTCACGAAAACACATTTTAATTAAAAACAAAATGAATGAAACAACATTTAACTAAGAATACAAGAACAGAAATAGAAATACGAAAAAACGTAGCGGTTTGATGACACATGAATGTCTCGATGACACAAACTTAGCCATGAGATGAAATGATGTTTACCAAGATTTAAAAGGTGGCGCCACTTTCCATACAAATCGTCCTTCTTCTAAGTTTCCACCCCCTGCTATTGATCATTATCTCATGTCTCACGAGATGTTCAAATGATTGTCACTTTTAAAGTAGGATACCACAAGATACCCTTATAGTACAATGAAATAATTAAATTCGATTCTTATTTAGCATAAATGTTTATAAATTAGCTATTTATAGAGAGCAACCAAAACAAATATTTGTTAATAATTCAAAATAATTAGGTCAATATAAAAGATCAAGTGTATATTTTGGTCTAAGGTCTTTGGTTAAGACTTTAAAAGCAGGAATTTGCCTGCAGGTTCCTGCACGTGCCGGTGCAGTCCGGCAGTGACCAGGTGCTGGCAGACATGAAGAGAGAGTACAGTCGGGCTGACTTTGAACAAGTTGTTGACTATCTTAGACACCAGTGAGTATTATCATTTACCAGCCAAAATAAACTTAATAAGTAGTCAATGTCTTCTTCCAGACTATGTTCTACATCTGGAGATACCTTCTAATATTAATAAGATAATTGTAAATATTTGTTATGTTGTCAGTGTGCCGGGCATGACAATAGCTACAGACATCATCTGTGGCTTCCCCACGGAGACGGAGAAGGACTTTGAGGACACAATGTCTCTCTGCACCAAGTACAAGTTCCCCTCACTCTTCATCAACCAGTTCTTCCCCAGACCTGGCACTCCTGCCGCCAACATGACCAGAGTCAGTTAAATATTTTATTATAATACATTTATAAATTCTTTTTGGTAATGACATTATTTTGGAAGTCAATGTCAATAAATATTTATGTAACTAGCTTTTGTTCATGGATTTGCGTGGAATCATAACATCTTTCTAACAAGACAGTAATTTATCTCTGTGTGAAATTTCATTTAGATGTTTTGTCGATCTGGATTTATTTGTTAATATCCATCCATCTAAATTTTCTTTGTTAGATAAATTAATAAGTTTGACTTTAAAAATCCCGTAGCAAAATACAAAATAATGTTATTCAAAAACAAGTGAGAAAAAGTTAATTTTAAAGATATATTACTGAGTAAATTAAATTTTTTTTTGCTAAATTTTGCAGGTTCCCGGACAAGAAGTGAAGAAACGAACCAAACAATTGTCAGATTTCTTCAGATCTTATGAACCGTATGGCCACAAAGTGGGGGAAGTACAAGAAGTTCTCGTCACTGATATATCACATGACAAGAACTACTTCGTGGCCCACAATGAATTCTATGAACAAGTTTTAGTTCCCAAAGAGGAGAAATATATGGGCAAAATGGTCACAGTGAAAATAACCAGTGCGAGTAAGTTCTCTATGGTCGGACAGCCCATAGACAAGCCAAAGATGGCGGGCGTCGTGCAACCCTTGAAGAAAGGAGAAGTTTCAGGCTTAGTTAGTGTCAGGGACAAGAAAATACCTTTGCCTATTGTATTTTTGTTAATTGCAGTCGTTTTTAGAATGATCTGGATGTTTTTGTAGCATATTTAGCTAATAAAGTATTTTTATAAGCAACATTTTCTATTTTTATCTCTTAACTAGTTCCTGCCCGAGATTCCCTCCGCGCGGAATTAAGAAAAAAATAATTAGTTGTCTATGTGTTCTCCCAGACTATGTTCTACTTCTACGACAAATTTCATCAAGCTCCGTTGAGCCTTTCCGGAGATACCTTCAAACATCAACCCATCTAAACTTTCGCATTTATAATATTAGTAAGATAGTAGAAAAAAAATCTAGATTAAAAAAAGTCAAGTTCAATTCTTATAAGTTTTATTTGCATATATTCAGATAAATTTTTTGTGTATTTTTTTTCATCAATACATTTTTTTTTACAATTTTATTCACAGCAATTTATACATTTTTAATACAATATGTAATGATTGTGCAATATATAATATATAAACATTACATACAATGTGAAACTACGTTACTATTATACATAGAAATAATTTTAAAAATCATTGAATTTTGTATGAATTTGAAATCACTGAAAAATACACAAACAGAGCAAATTAAATCAAGAATTATCTCGTAATAAAATAAAAGTACAAATTGTTTAAAATAATATTACAAATGCTTTGTATTTTT